CCCTTTGGTGTCAAGAATCTGCGACCACTGCCACACTTTCCGAGCCCGAAGCGTATAAAGACCGCGCTCAGAGACCACCCCCTGCGCACCCCCTTCTGGTGTCAAGAAGCTGCCACGCCCGCCACACTTTCCGAGCCTGGACCGTATAGGGACCGCGTTCAGAAACCACCCTTTGCGCACCCCCTTTTCTGGTGTCAAGAAGCTGTCACCCCCGCCACATTTTCCGAACCTGGACCGTATAGAGACCGCGTTCCGAGAGCACCGCTTGCGCACCCTCTATGGTGTCAAGACGTTGCCACCCCTGCCGCACTTTCCGAGCCTGGACCGTATGGAGACCGCGCTTAGAGACCCCCTCTGCGCACCCCCTTCATGGTGTCGAGAAACTGCCACGGGTGCCACATTTTCCGGGCCTGGACCGTCTTGAGACCTCGCTAAGAGACCACCCTTTTCGAACCCGCTATGGTGTCGAGAAGCTGCAACGCCTGCCACACTTTCCGAGCCTAGGCCGTGAGGGAGGTGATGTGTGTGTGGTTGTGCTTGTGCTTGTGTTTGTGCTTGTGCTTGTGTTCGCGTTTGCGTGTGCGTTTGTGTTTGTGTTTGTGTGTGTGTTTGTGTTTGTGTGTGTGTTTGTGTTTGTGTTTGTGTTAATGTTTGTGTGTGTTTGTGTTTGTGCTTGTGTGTGTTTGTGTCTGTGTCTGTGCCTGTGTCTATGTCTGTGTCGGTGCGTCTGTGTGTCTGTGTGTATTAGGTATGTGTGTATGTGTATGTGTGTGTTTGTGCTTGTTGTGTGTGTGTGTGTGTCGGGGGGGGGAGCGTCGCGGGTGGGACGTGGGAGGGAAGAAAACCATAACCCCACCAAGCATGTGGGGAACAAAACACGCACACACGCACACACGCACACAGACACACACACACACACACATAAAAAAAAACAACAAATAAACAACCAACATATCAAATAAGCAAGCAAGCGCACACATACACACACAGACACAGACACAGACACAGACACACACACACACACACAAACACACACATACACACACTTGACGATGTCACGAGACACCCCTGGGCCGAGACAACCTGTTTGGTACGACTGCTATCGGGCACGTTGGTGCAGCAGCCGAAATTGTACACACAGTTGGCGGGCGGCGCTGCCGATGGGCAGGTCAAGCAAGATGCGCAGCGTACAGGTGACGCTCATGTTACAGTATGCATCTTGGAGGGGTTGTCCGGGGGGGGGGCCGGGGATTTTGTTAGATAAAAGTTGTTTCGTTGAACATGCTAGCTTGGGCTCTGGCGGGGAAGCGCAGCACACCCAACTCGCAGCGTGAAGCGTGCGCCCCTGGCTCGGACTGCCACTGGTGCTGCTGCGCACCCTGCCGCGCGCGGCCGACAGGCCGACAGGCGACAAGAGAGTTATGCTCTTGTCAGCACCTGCTGGCCCGCGAGGACGGCAGTTATAGGGCGCTGTGCGCATGCTGCGCACGCTTGTTTGCAATACTGCACACGCGGGCCGGTCGAACTGAGCTCCTCTCAACGCAGGGGGTGCACGCAGCTGGGGCGGGACACCGCACGAGCACCCAAAGTCGCACACCCGACGAAGCGAACCAGCGCTGGGCTAGTGAAGCTCCCAGGGACGCCTCGGCAGCCGGAAAAGCGCGGGGCTCTCACGGAGCAATTGGCGGGGGGCAGCGGGCGGTGGCAGGGAGCAGCGAGCGGCGGCGCCGCACGGGCGCAGCTGGGGCGGCAGGGTTCCGGGCAGTGCCAGGGGGCGCGGATCGCCGTCACCGAGGCTTCACCGATGGGCGAGGCCGCAACCAAGACCGAGAGTCTATGGGCCCATGTGGGGCCGACTGCGCGTGTGCGGCCGAGGCGTGCGAGGGCGCGAGCAACCCCCACGGTGAGCCCACTGCAGAAGCAGTCGGAGCACGGGCGGTGCGGACGCGCCGATGCGAGAGCGATTGGCGGGGGGGCGGGGGCCTCGGTGCAGGTAGGAGCCGCCCAGAGTGGGGCGGAACCGCCGGCGGGAAAATGTGGTGACGCAGTGGGCGTCGAGCACGCCACCGATCCTCGCGGCGAGGCTGTCCCTGTTGATCTCCTGGCGGCGTGGAACTTTACACTGTAGGATGGCGTCGGAGCGGGCTGCCGCTCGGCCGGGGGAGGAGAGGCGCCGGGCAGAGCCGCCATGGGAGGGGAAGCGGCGCACTGTGCGGCCGCGACCCGTCTGCTGCACAGGCCCGAGCGCGGGGACGCGCGGTCACGAAACCGGCAGGCGTGCGGTAAGTCAGTAGTGAGGGCGTCCCCGTTGGTCAGACGGCGGCGTGAGACTTGAGATGCTGGGAGAGCGCTGGGGCAGGGTGCCGCGCGGCGAGGGGGGGGGCGGGGATCACGGTCGCCAAGGGCGGGGAGGCGTCGCACAGGGCGCCCGCAACCCTCAGCTGCAGGGACCCGAGCAGGCACGCACGGAAAGCCAACACACACACACACATTCACACAC